AAAGGGGCATGTTAATTTCACAGGTCGTAATAGGGAAATCCGCGGGGGATTTAAATATCCCCCGCGGCATTTAAATAAAAATGTCCGCCGCTTTTTTCCGGCTTTTAGAAAAGCCGGAAAAGAGCATCTACACTGGCCCCGATCCTCTGGAAAAAAGCCCTTTTCCGGAGGATCTCTTATTCCTACTTTGAAGTCAGTAGCCAGAAGTCGGGGCCAGTGTAGACGCTCTTTTCCGGCTTTTCTAAAAGCCAGAAAAAAGCGGCGGACATTTTTATTTAAATGCCGCGGGGGATATTTAAATCCCCGCGGATTTCCCTATTACGACCTGTGAAATTAGCATGCCCCTTTCGGAAAAGGGGCCAGTGTAGACGAGCCCCAAGAGCTGCAGAAAGGGGCCACTGTTTTGGCTGCAGGGAGATATGCAGCAGCAAAAGCAGAGGTTCTCCCTGCTGTTGCCTCACCCTAGAGTCACAGTTCCCAACTTGCTAGCTCCAGCAGCTGTCGTGACTGAGTGGGATCTGCAAACCCCAGCAAAAATCCAGAGGGGTCATGACCCTATGCCCCCCTCGCACATCTTGTCTGTGGCATCTGCTCAGCAGGGAGTGGGGGCTAGGGACTGAAGCCCTGGCAGCAGCTCCTCAGTTCTTGGTCTTTTTCAGATTCTCATATATGGCTCAGAGGGTCAGTAAATTTGGCCATCCCTGTAGTATAATAGTAAACCTTATAATAAACTATTACTTTTACATTATGTTTGTGACAAAGGAGGTTAGTGTTGACTTGAGCTGATTTCATCAGATAACCCTACAAAAATAATGTATTTAGGAACAAACTTTTTGGAATCACTTAAAGTTTTTTTAAATGTCACCACTTAATAAATATGAGGCCTCATAGCATCAAATGTATTCATTGTTTTTGAATAGGATGATTCAGGATTTTCCTTTGCTTAAATTCTCCTCTGTAGATTACATAACATGGCAGTCACGCACAGAACCCACTAAGTTTAAATGTCATTTTATGAATACATTTAGTAATAAATATCCTCCAGTTTTCCTAGGAATGACTTAGTTTGGGGATATGAAATACTGCATCCAGTAAAGACACTCTTCCAGCACTGCATCAGATTAACACAAATATTTAAAAAATTGCCAGATGTGGAGAGATGTCGAGCACCTGCAGCTTTCATTGACTGCAATAATCCTTGCAGTCAGTCAGTGAGTGCTTTTTAGGACTGGCACCTCTGTTACCAATTATATCTTGCATTATTAAAAGTAATTGTTTTTACACATTTCTAATTTCTCTCTGTTTAGCTTGGTAGTAAAAACAGCCAAATCTGTTTCACTACATTCAGTTTGTAGCCAATTTCACTTTCTTATTCTTGTGACCTAGCACTTTTCTGTAATATTTAGATTCTTAGTATTACAGAGAAATAATTTTGTTTTATTAAACTTATTCCAACAGGAATCTGTGCTCCAATTGGTAGAAGCATCTGAAACAAGGATTGCTATACTGTGTAAAAGTGGGCCTAGACACTGTCTTTTCTCCCCTACTCCAGGGGGCCACCAACTCCCAGGCAAGCAGATTGTATGTGCCAGCCCCATGGTGGGATAGTGGGGGAGAGATGGCTGGAGTGCCAGCGCAGGCTCCCCAATACTGGGAGGGGAGGAGCCTCAAACCTTGGGGGCTGGATCCAGGCAAGCTGGGATCCACAGGTTCCCCACCTCTGCCCTACTCCTCCTCTGGTCCCAGAACTGCCAAGGGAAACCACCCCACACACATTGGCTACGTCTACACTGGCCCCTTTTCCGGAAGGGGCATGTAAATTTCACTAGTCGTCGTAGGGAAATCCGCGGGGGATTTAAATATCCCCCGCGGCATTTAAATAAAAATGCCCGCCGCTTTTTTCCGGCTTTTAAAAAAGCCGGAAAAGAGCGTCTAGACTGGCCCCGATCCTCCGGAAAAAGTGCCCTTTTCCGGAGGCTCTTATTCTTACTTTGAAGTAGGAATAAGACCCTCCGGAAAAGGGCACTTTTTCCGGAGGATCGGGGCCAGTCTAGACGCTCTTTTCCGGCTTTTTTAAAAGCCGGAAAAAAGCGGCGGGCATTTTTATTTAAATGCCGCGGGGGATATTTAAATCCCCCGCGGATTTCCCTACGACGACTCGTGAAATTTACATGCCCCTTCCGGAAAAGGGGCCAGTGTAGACGTAGCCA